TGTGCTATTTCTATAGAATCACTTCTGGAAAATCTCATTAATGTAAAACTTTACTTCCAATATAAAGAAGCTTCAATGTACACCATATCAGACTCGACATCTGCCTTCCTTCACAGTACCTTGATATAACATATTCTGCGTGAATGTTGTGCTATTTCTATAGAATCACTTCTGGAAGAAAATCTCATTAATGTAAAAACTTTACTTCCAATATCACCCAGAAGCTTCAATGTACACCATATCAGACTCGACATCTGCCTTCCTTCACAGTACCTTGATATAACATATTCTGCGTGAATGTTGTGCTATTTCTATAGAATCACTTCTGGAAGAAAATCTCATTAATGTAAAACTTTACTTCCAATATCACCCAGAAGCTTCAAGAAGACATCTTCAATGTACACCATATCAGACTTCGAAAACATCTGCCAATATCCCAGAAGCTTCAATGTACACCATCAGTACCTTGATATAACATATTCTGCGTGAATGTTGTGCTATTTCTATAGAATCACTTCTGGAAAACTTTACTCATTCACCCAAGAAATCTCATTAATGTAACATAAAAACTTTACTCCAATATCACCCAGAAGCTTCAATGTACACCATATCAGACTCGACATCTGCCTTCACAGTACCTTGATATAACATATTCTGCGTGAATGTTGTGCTATTTCTATAGAATCACTTCTGGAAGAAAATCTCATTAATGTAAAACTTTCCTTCCAATATCACCCAGAAGCTTCAATGTACACCATATCAGACTGACATCTGCCTTCCTTCACAGTACCTTGATATAACATATTCTGCGTGAATGTTGTGCTATTTCTATAGAATCACTTCTGGAAGAAAATCTCATTAATGTAAAAACTTTACTTCAATATCACCCAGAAGCTTCAATGTACACCATATCAGACTCGACATCTGCCTTCACAGTACCTTGATATAACATATTCTGCGTGAATGTTGTGCTATTTCTATAGAATCACTTCTGGAAGAAAATCTCATTAATGTAAAAATCCAATATCACCAAGAAGCTTCAATGTACACCATATCAGACTCGACACTTCACAGTACCTTGATATAACATATTCTGCGTGAATGTTGTGCTATTTCTATAGAATCACTTCTGGAAGAAAAATCATTAATGTAAAACTTTACTTCCAATATCACCCAGAAGCTTCAATGTACACCATATCAGACTCGACATCTGCCTTCCTTCACAGTACCTTGATATAACATATTCTGCGTGAATGTTGTGCTATTTCTATAGAATCACTTCTGAAGAAAATCTCATTAATGTAAAAACAGTACCTTTTACTTCCAATATCACCCAGAAGCTTCAATGTACACCATATCAGACTCGACATCTGCCTTCCTTCACAGTACCTTGATATAACATATTCTGCGTGAATGTTGTGCTATTTCTATAGAATCACTTCTGGAAGAAAATCTCATTAATGTAAAACTTTACTTCCAATATCACCCAGAAGCTTCAATGTACACCATATCAGACTCGACATCTGCCTTCCTTCACAGTACCTTGATATAACATATTCTGCGAATGTTGTGCTATTTCTATAGAATCACTTCTGGAAGAAAATCTCATTAATGTAAAAACTTTACTTCCAATATCACCCAGAAGCTTCAATGTACACCATATCAGACTCGACATCTGCCTTCCTTCACAGTACCTTGATATAACATATTCTGCGTGAATGTTGTGCTATTTCTATAGAATCACTTCTGAAGAAAATCTCATTAATGTAAAAACTTTTACTTCCAATATCACCCAGAAGCTTCAATGTACACCATATCAGACTCGACATCTGCCTTCCTTCACAGTACCTTGATATAACATATTCTGCGTGAATGTTGTGCTATTTCTATAGAATCACTTCTGGAAGAAAATCTCATTAATGTAAAAACTTTACTTCCAATATCACCCAGAAGCTTCAATGTACACCATATCAGACTCGACATCTGCCTTCCTTCACAGTACCTTGATATAACATATTCTGCGTGAATGTTGTGCTATTTCTATAGAATCACTTCTGGAAGAAAATCTCATTAATGTAAAAACTTTACTTCCAATATCACCCAGAAGCTTCAATGTACACCATATCAGACTCGACATCTGCCTTCCTTCACAGTACCTTGATATAACATATTCTGCGTGAATGTTGTGCTATTTCTATAGAATCACTTCTGGAAGAAAATCTCATTAATGTAAAACTTTACTTCCAATATCACCCAGAATCTTCAATGTACACCATATCAGACTCGACATCTGCCTTCCTTCACAGTACCTTGATATAACATATTCTGCGTGAATGTTGTGCTATTTCTATAGAATCACTTCTGGAAGAAAATCTCATTAATGTAAAAACTTTACTTCCAATATCACCCAGAAGCTTCAATGTACACATATCATATCAGACTCGACATCTGCCTTCCTTCACAGTACCTTGATATAACATATTCTGCGTGAATGATTGTGCTGAATTTCTATAGAATCACTTCTGGAAGAATCTCATTAATGTAAAACTTTACTTCAATATCACCCAGAAGCTTCAATGTACACCATATCAGACTCGACATCTGCCTTACTTCACAGTACCTTGATATAACATATTCTGCGTGAATGTTGTGCTATTTCTATAGACTTCGACATTAATGTAAAAACTTTACTTCAATATCACCCAGAAGCTTCAATGTACACCATATCAGACTCGACAGCCTTCCTTCACAGTACCTTGATATAACATATTCTGCGTGAATGTTGTGCTATTTCTATAGAATCACTTCTGGAAGAAAATCTCATTAATGTAAAAACTTTACTTCCAATATCACCCAGAAGCTTCAATGTACACCATATCAGACTCGACATGCCTTCCTTCACAGTACCTTGATATAACATATTCTGCGTGAATGTTGTGCTATTTCTATAGAATCACTTCTGGAAGAAAATCTCATTAATGTAAAAACTTTACTTCCAATATACCCAGAAGCTTCAATGTACACCATATCAGACTCGACATCTGCCTTCCTTCACAGTACCTTGATATAACATATTCTGCGTGAATGTTGTGCTATTTCTATAGAATCACTTCTGGAAGAAAATCTCATTAATGTAAAAACTTTACTTCCAATATCACCCAGAAGCTTCAATGTACACCATATCAGACTCGACATCTGCCTTCCTTCACAGTACCTTGATATAACATATTCTGCGTGAATGTTGTGCTATTTCTATAGAATCACTTCTGGAAGAAAATCTCATTAATGTACACCATATCAAAAACTTTACTTCCAATATCTGGAAGAAAACCCATTAATGCTTCAATGTACACCATATCAGACTCGACATCTGCCTTCCTTCACAGTACCTTGATATAACATATTCTGCGTGAATGTTTGCTATTTCTATAGAATCACTTCTGGAAGAAAATTTCATTAATGTAAAAAGAATCACTTCAATGTACACCATATCAGACTCGAAGAAATAACATATCTCATTAATGCTATTTCTAAAACTTTGGAAGAAACTCATTAATGTAAAAACTTATTCAATATCAGAAGCTTCAATGTACACCATATCAGACTCGACATCTGCCTTCCTTCACAGTACTTTGATATAACATATTCTGCGTGAATGTTGTGCTATTTCTATAGAATCACTTCTGGAAGAAAATCTCATTAATGTAAAAACTTTACTTCAATATCACCCAGAAGCTTCAATGTACACCATATCAGACTCGACATCTGCCTTCCTTCACAGTACCTTGATATAACATATTCTGCGTGAATGTTGTGCTATTTCTATAGAATCACTTCTGGAAGAAAATCTCATTAATGTAAAAACTTTACTTCCAATATCACCCAGAAGCTTCAATGTACACAATATCAGACTCGACATCTGCCTTCCTTCACAGTACCTTGATATAACATATTCTGCGTGAATGTTGTGCTATTTCTATAGAATCACTTCTGGATGAAAATCTCATTAATGTAAAAACTTTACTTCCAATATCACCCAGAAGCTTCAATGTACACCATATCAGACTCGACATCTGCCTTCACAGTACCCTTGATATAACATATTCTGCGTGAATCAATCACCTTCAAAAGGTTTCTTTAAACTCAGTGAATCGATATTGACTATTTGGATAATCTTTATTTACAGATTTAATTCTTGACATAGGATTTCGACTGCTAAGAAGATTTTACTCTAATTTAAAATAACAGTTTCTTAAAATCTTTTTTATTCTGATGAAGAAGTGAATTTTTGTCTCTCAACATTTTGTAAATATCGTAATGATGTGTTCCAAGTTTATTCGTTATGTCACATCTTTTAAATTTTGATTTAGATTTATTCGGATGGCAAAAATAACAATACAATATCATCCTAGCATCGTTATCACAGATTTGACTTTATAAATAATTTTCTGAAAACAGTAACCGTTGCAATGTGAATGCGACTGGTCTGCTCCCCACCCCCAAACGAGATAAACATAAGTTCGTTATACTCACAATCACTGGAGCACATTTCTATTGACTATAAATTACCTCTCGTGTCTCGTGGGAAAATCCTGTCAGTAATAGTAACATGTTTAGTAGACTGTAAATAACCGACTTAGAATTCCTATTACACACCAAATTTACTTTCATTTGTAAACTGTTCCGGTTGAAAAGTTGACTCTCTCTCTCTCTCTCTCTCTCTGCGTATGTGTGTGTGCGTGTGTGTGTGTGTGTGTGTGTGTTGAGTAAACGCGTCGTCACGTCTAAGACGAATATCAAGTCATCAAGAGTGAAAACATTTGTTTGCTGTCGAGTGGTCGATTAGAAAAGCCTAAAAATAGTATCCTATTACTTTAAAAAAATTATTTAGTATGTTTCATTGGAATTTCAATTTCTGGCAGATTTTATCAAACTTTCTTTGTTACCAGTGTTAATTCGTGGGCGCTCAAGCGGAACAGACAAATAAAAACAGCTCTCTATCAGATAGATAGATAGATAGATAGATAGATAGATAGATAGATAGATAGATCATGATAAGAATGAGACAGAAAGACAAACAGATAGATAGATAGATAGATAGATAGATAGATAGATAGATAGATAGATAGAAAGAAAAGAATGAGATAGATATGAACAAAATTAGATATATTTAATCTACGTATTTTATAATGTTTAAATTTATTTATGAAGAATAAATGACAAAAGTTGTTTTTTGTTTCCTTTTGCCCTGTTTTCAACATTCTTCTTCATTTTCCTTCATTTGGCTTCATTTTTAGACTCAGCTTCAAACTAAGGCAGCCCATAAAAGTTCCTTTGCGAGTCAACGTCAGTTTGATGGAATAATCTCCTCCAGGGACCGAGAAAGATGTCATATGGAATTCACTGGGTGGTAAAAAATAAGTTCCCTGTAAAAAAAAAAAAAAAAAAAGAATAAAGTCAGTCTTTTAATTTTAATACAGTATATATATATATATATATATATATATATATATATATATATATATTTCTGAGATGAGGTATTATGTACATTATTTACATTATTCAGACTATTGTCCTCATCTTTGTCGCCATATTTATTACAACGTTTCGGCCGTTGTACGCTCCGGCCTTCTTCAGGTGGTTGGAATGTCGAACTGAACCCTTTATTTCGCTCACTGAGGTAGACTGTTCTAGTTCCACGTGCCATGTTTAATGGATGTCAGTTATCAGTTATCTCCTGTTAATTTTCCCTCTGAAAGTTCTCCACTGCCTTAACTGGGTATTGAACTCACACTCCTTGGGTTCTGTCACTGGATCTAACCAACGCCTTTATCCACTGTGCGGGATACTTGCGCTTACCTTTGGCCTATTTACTTCTTTTACAGACTTTCCTTGCAGAAAATCACTACGCACTACCGTAAAGAAATGTAATTTTTTTTTTATTTTTGCTATTCAAAACGGAAAAAAAGTTTCTGTTGTATTATTTAATTTGTTTTTGTTATAAATAAAACTACACTTACCAAAAAAAAAATACATTTCTTTACGGTAGTGCGTAGTGATTTTCTGCAAGGAAAGTCTGTAAAAGAAGTAAATAGGCCAAATTTTCTGATTACGCCTGTGTAGGTACTACGCAGTGAATTAGTAATCATGATGGCAGTAATAGGGGACGAATGACCAACAAGAAGTCCGATTTTTTATTGTCGATAACTCCAAAATTATGAAGGTTTCTTCATAAGTTAATTGTTAATTTGAGTTCAGCATGTACATTTCCACGGAATTATGACGATTTTTGAAAAAATTTAAGGGATATTAGCGCTCGGGAAACAAAACCAAAATTTACCTTATTTTCTCGGAATTAATTAACTTTCTAATTCGTTCTTTTTTTCACAATTTGTTCTAATAGTTATTAAACACAATTAAGCTTTCTCTTGCGTTCTCCCCACTTCTAAATCTATAAAGCCGACTTGGTGCATTTAAATCTTATTCATTTTCTGACTTGGGTTTGAAATCTTGTGACTTATATATATAACCAGCAACTTTTCTGCAATGAAGTACTTTCTCTAGGTTCAAAAAAAAAGAAAAAAACAGATTTGAAAATTGGAAAATTAGGAATGATTTAGGTTTCATCATTTGAATTTTGCTGAGGAGAAAAGTATGAAATATTTTACCATTTTTGCTACTTACCTTTTTAAATGGACACTTGCAAGGAATGTTATGTTTAATAAATGGATCTGGACAAGCGGTTATTTGGGATAATAAATTGCATAGATCATCATAATGACAAGATCCTACATTGTCTACACAAGGGATTTTAACGTAAATGGGTCCGATTTTCTTTTTCATCACGACATCACCCTGCAAATTAAGAAAAAAAATAAGATGTCACATAAGTTACATGGGGAGGTGCTGAGCGGTTCTCGGTCCGACCAAATTAGAATTAAAGAAATTCTGATATTTGGCCAGGACTGGGGAAGTTGGTTGAGCCGAGATCTTTTCAGCACCCCTGGTATAAATTATGCGTGCTTGATACTTTATGCTAATAGATAGATAGATAGATAGATAGATAGATAGATAGATAGATAGATAGATTAGATTAGATTTTAAATGCAATGTCAATCACTATCTATTGTCCTCCTGATTACTTTTTCCTCTTACCGCTCCTTATTAATGTTTAAGTTCCTAATTCTATTCTTCCACACCTTGTAACAATTTGTGTTTTAGATGTGGCACAAGGCCTAACATATAGGGCACCCAGTGAGGATCGAACTCATTGTTCAATCGTAATCGATCTAGCGAGAGAAGCTTGCTGTTCATTACACCACGTCGAAGTGCCCTAACCATTTGTGTCTTAGTGGCTTTACTACCTTGCATGGGATGATACCAATTAAAAAGAAAAAGTAGCTAGCTAGCTAGATATATAGAGATATAAACAGACTGGCATAAATATATTACGTCATATTTTATTATGTAAGTTAATTTTTTCACAATAAAATTGAATATATATATATATAAAAATATTTATACAATTTTTAGGATATACTTATAATTAACCATTTGATTTTCACTTTATGATATCTATTTTTATCAGAATAATTCATCATCATCCTCATCACCATCATCATCAATATCATCATCATCATTCTCATCATCACCGAGTATGGTCGTAGGGCCGCTGCGCAATTGAATACCTAACCAGTTTCCTCTACATATCTGGGTTGAAAGCCGAGAAGATACTCATTTCTGCATAGCATGACTTGAGCAAGTATAACCACACTCTCCAAGTCAAACCACACTCGATATCCTTCATCTTGAAGGCTTGCCTTGGTCACGAACACCTGGCCCTTGATTCCATTAGCGAAACTCTCCTCTCTGGCCGTTGACTTCAGTCTAGGAAGCCCTCCGTCTAACGATAATGTGTAATTGTAAACATAAAAAGAACCCTCACGTAGCTCTCTACCAGGTGAGTGCCTTATTCGTGCCGATGGGAAGCAAAACTTGTGAATGACTTGCTGCATGCTCACAGGATAACGAAAGGTGAAAATAAGCGCCACAACAAGAAATGAGGGCTCAAAATCTGTTTCGAATAAATGTAGGTGTCTGCTCAATCAGTGTGGATAGGTAGGTGACACTGGATATTAATCATGTAAGACTTACAAATCAGCTGTTGCCTTCGATACTTCCATCAAGATGCGCAACTGACAAGCCGAACGGACGTTATCGGAACGACCCGAGAGACAGTCTGGCTCCATGAACAGATGGTTCAAAATTAATTACTTCAATCCTAACAGTTACTGTTAAGGGACCGGAAACCTTTGATGTACGGTTTGTTGTCTCTTGATCCCCAAAATCTTAATAAATTTACTTGTCTATTTTTTTATTCCCTTTCAGTCAAGTGAAGACCATATCATACAGATTTATCGCTGGTCATAAAACACGAAACACTTAAGATCGGGATAAAATCTCACAACTTCTCCTATATATGTCTCCCAATCATAATGTTATATAATCACCGCACAAGCCGCGTCCTATAGATCCCAGTCTGCTCTATTGTACTAGACGGCCATGGACTCTGCAAGAAGGTCAATCCACCCTTTGGTATGTCTTGTTTTTAATCCTGCTGGGTTTATAGATACGTTTCTCATCAGTGGGTGAACAGGTTTAATCACCGATGACCCGACTAAGCGGCAGGTTGTACTGGGTTACATTGTACCAGTAGAGCGCTCATATAGAGTAACCTGAAAGAAATAATTACAATAATTTATTTGGTAGTGTGAGGTGATGTTATGCAATGCAAGAATTTTATATCATCTTGTAAATAAATATATAGACAATAATATATTTATTGCAAATTTATAAGAAATATATTAGTATCAGGAATGAGAAACTGAAAAGAGAAGAGAAAAATAAGAAAAATGTATTTAAATCTTTCACAAATAGAGATTTGAGAAAAGTGTCATAAGAAAAATGGAATGACCAGAAAATATTTGAAGAATTTGGCGTTGTGAATGCATATAGAGAGAAAAGATAAATAATATTAAGAATATGGATTAAACATGAAAGCAATCGATTAAATAAACAACATAATGGGTGTAATGTTGATCGAAGAAATACATAAAAACTGCTTTCTCAACAATAATTTTTGTGATGAATATAAAGCTAAATTAAAGGCATTTGGTGTCTAGTTTAATATATTCTTTAATTTTAAAGTTTTTTGCTTATAACCGGTATCATTCAGAATTATGGTCCAAGAACTTACAATAACCTCAACATTCATCACAAAAAATTACTCTTGAGAAATCAACAGTCATTATTTCTACCAAAATTCTCTTTGTGATATTTACTTAAATATGGAAATTTAGTTTTAACCGGTATTATTAATATTTTGCATATTTTCTCTTTGTTTACTCTTTCAACACCAGCTTCTTCAAATTAATCAACCTGTATTGCTTCTTGTTAATTTTTCTCAAATCGATTTTATTATACATAATATACATTTATTTAACATACTTAAAACCAGTTTTCTTGTTCTTATCTTGCTGATGTTTTCACTTACTTTTTTGATTGTTTTGTGAAAAATTTAAATCTGAATATATACTTATTCAGCTTTAATTTTTTACGTGTTGGTAACGTAGAAAATATAATTAATTCCCACAACATCCATAGCTTAAGAAAAGTTCACGACATTGAGTCACGAGAGAACAAACTTCCCCGTAGCTGTATAGTTAATGTTGTTTGTCCAGTGTAAGGGATTTGCACTTCTGAAAATGTGATATATAAAGCTATGATTTTTTTCCAAAGGAAAATATGAACCAGAAAAAGTTTACATCGAAATTTTATCAGGAAATTGGAAACAAAGTTTCTATAATCACCGGCATTCCTTCAACAACGAATCCCTGAGACAACAGACAAAATTTTCAAAACACTATTAAGACCTTATTGATGGAGGCTTCACTCCACAATTAAAATGGAGGATTATCTGTAAGGCCCGAACCTCCAACAGCTTCAGGGACAGATGTGATCTCTTCATTTTAGAAAAAAGTCCTGATAATTAAGTGTGAAAACGAGCTACTTAATTAAGAGACGAACTTGTCTTCAAATGCTTCGGATTTCTAACATAACATCAATTTTAAACAAAATTTACTCAAACTTGAGTTTTCAGATGTTTTACATGTATTTGTGCATATGTATACGGATAGGTATATGCGTATATGTATATCTAATATATATATATATATCAGGTCATCCCATAAGTTCTGTCCGAATTTTAACTTTTTGTTAAAATGAACGAAATTTAAAGAGTATTTTATGTCTAATGGAGCTGAACATTATTTTTATGTTTAGATGCATTTAAACTGATCAAATTTTATTTCAGAGAACAATAAAATTAAATTTTGTTTGATTAAAACCCTGTTAACATGGTACCCAAGAATCATTTGAGGCACATAATGCTTTATGAGTTCAAGAAAGGAAACTCAGCAGTCGAAGCGGCTAGAAACATTCACTCAGTTTATGGAGAGGAATGTGTGAATGAAAGAACTTGCAGAAGATGGTTTGCAAAATTCAGAGGTGGAGATTTCACCCTTGAAGATGAAGATCAAACCGGACGTCCAGTTGAGTTTGATGAAAAGCTTCTTGATGCAGCCCTTGAATAAAATCCTGCTTTATCAGTTGAGGAATTGGCAATGGTTTTCAGTTCAAACCATACAACTGTTCATCGTCATCTTCAACAACTTGGAAAAGTTCCTAAACTTGGAAAATGGGTGCCTCATGAATTGTCTGAAAACAACCTCAAATCCCGAGTTGACATCTGCTCTTCTCTCCACTCTCGTCAACTTGTTTCACCTTTTTTGCATAGACTTGTGACTGGCGACGAAAAATGGATCTTTTATCGAAATGTTAAGCGTCGTAGACAGTGGCTTGGTAAAGGGGAAGGACCCCAGCCACAGCTGAGAAGGGAACTTGATGGGCAAAAGGTTCTTCTTTCAATCTGGTGGGATCGCCAAGGAATAATCCACTTAGAGTGTTTGAACCAAGCTTTGAGGAAAAAAACCTGCTCTAGTTTCATCAGGACAATGCGCGACCTCACACAGCAAGAATCATGTCACAAAAGATCGAAGAACTTGGTTGGGAGAAAATTCCTCATCCACCTTATTCTCCCGCTCTTGCTCCTTCAGACTACCATTTGTTTCGTAGCTTACAGAATAATTTGGAAGAAACAGCTTTTGTAACACAGGAAGAGGTTAAAACTGATATTTGTGAGTTCTTCGAATCAAAGCCAAAAGAATTTTACAGTAATGGAATTAGTAAGCTTGTTAATAGATGGAAGGAAGTCATAGATAATCAGGGAAAATACATTGTTGATTGAATCTGTAATTAAATGTAACATTTGGTCACTTGTTTTCTTTATTCAAAATTCAGACAGAACTTATGGGATGACCTGATATATATATATATATATATATATATATATATATATATATATATATATATAAATATATTGTTTTACCATTTCGTATACATAAAATACTAATTGTTAATAAATCATATAGTCAGAATTTCCACCTATGATCCTTCATGTAATTCCCCTCCCCTCATCACATGTGACCTCACTTTGCAAAAAATTCCTCTTATCTGGGCATCTATCGCTTACACATCTGTCTTTTTCATGTACGTGTATGCACAAGCATACTATTGTACTTCTTTGCCTTTGTATCTGTGTTGGGGCATATATTTTTGTATAGCCAAACATGCGTGCCCCCGTCTGTGTAGATAGGTACAGGTGTGTATTCGTGTGCTATATGTTGTATTCTCTCATGAGTAGGTGCATAGATTACGCGTTGTGTATATATCTGGGTACACTTGATAGAAAACACTCTTAAGTGCCCCTTTACAGTTATACGGTTAATAATGTATTTGAGAATATCTTAAATGTTATCTAAGTACTTATTTAGGAATGTACTCGTCAAATATGAATACAAATAGATAAATATGTGAGTATGTGTGTGTATATACGTATGTGTAAACGCATTTACGTGAAAACATGTGTAGATGTATGCGAATATGTGTATGGGCGTAGGCATATATGTGTATGTCTATTTATATGTGTATATAGAAGAATGTGTATAGATGTAAATATAAGGATTCGTGTACGTTCTCTAGTTCCCCTCTCCTTTCTTTTCTTCTGTTCCCTTCTTTTTCCGTTTTCTTTGTTCCATTCTTGCCCGGTGACCAAGAGGTCAACGCAACTACTATCCTAGAGACATAAACCTCTCTTCTTCCCTTTATACTTTGTCGAACTATTTTAAAATTTATTTTTCGTTTGATTCCTGGAAGAATTTTTTAATCCATTCATTATTTTGAAACCGACAGGTCTGACGAAGCAAAATCGAATTATCGATTTCGCGAAATAAAATATTACCATGACTTTCTGAAGTCTCCGATTTGTTCGAACAAGTGTTTTCTTTTTTGGATATAGAGTGTGTAGAAACTACCCAAATGTTCTATATTTCCGAGCGCTTTCGGCTATACTTTTAGCCATTATCAAGGATGATTTTATTTTTCCAATTTAATTGGGTGTTTGGGTTGTGTGTATATTTTTCGTGTTATAGAGATGTTTTATTTTCTGAACACAGCACATTGTGATTGTGTTCGTAGTTAAAATTATTAAGTGTTGGCCTTTTCTTTTTTATTATTAGGGCTTCCATTATTTTTAATCTTTTTTACATGTGGATGAGGTTATTATGTTTGTATTTTCAACTAGTATGTTTTGGATGAACTCTGGTAAGTTTGTGTGTGTGTTTAAATGGATTCTAATAGAGCTGTGGTCAGATAGGTGTAAGGTAAGGCGTCTGCAGAAAAACAAGACCTGCCCACTGAATTCCAAACGCATGTCTAAAGGCATTGTTTAAAAAGCTAGTATTTAAACATAATGGCAAAACTAAATTTTATTTTGGTTCCACTGCAAACCACTGGAAATCCTGGTATTACCAACATAAAATGACGCTTACCAATAGCCAATATTTCAACAACACTGCACTTTCTAATTTTTTCTGGGAAATTAAGACAGAAAATTACATCCCATTAGTAACTTGGAATTACATCGCTAAAACCAAACCTTTTAGTGACAAGGGAGACAAATGTAACCTATGCCTCTTGGAAAAACTTATAACACATTGATAACCCGAACCTGCTGAACAAATGAAATAAACTTATGAATAGTTGCATTCATAGAAAAAACTTTCTCCTCAAATATTTCGATTCTAGTTAACCTAAGTAATCTAACAATTCATAGAATTACCCCCCACTTTGTCTTTGTTTTTGTTTTTAACCCTTCGGTAAATAACTTTTTTACTCTATATTCACTACCTCATCTATTTTTTTTAACATCGCTTCATATATATTTTCACTACTATTCTCTATTTTATTTTACTTCTTCTCAATAAATATACCGTTGTTTCTAATATTGTTTCTCCTATTCCTATATTCATGACTTTATTCTTCTTAATTTTATATTAATTTCATATTTTATTTTTGTAAATATCTATTATATATTTTATTTATTCTTATAAATTTCTATTATATGTTTTTCGTATTTTTTACATCTATAAATGTTTAATATATGTGTGTGTGTGTGTATGTGCTACTTATTTTTATTTTTTCCTTTTTTGTATTCTTATTTATAAATAGTTACACTTTTTACTTTTCTTACCTTATCTATATAGAGTTACCCACTTAATTTGCTACCCTTATAGGTACCTCTATGAGATCGCTAAAAATGAGCATAGACCCCAAACTTGACGAAAACAAAATTTTATCGTCAAAATGTTTATGTTATTATTAAGAGGAAAAAACAAAGTATTTTTTAATTATTCTTTTAATTTTTTTTCTTCTTTTTAGAACATTCTAACTTTTGAATTTGATTAAAAAAAACAAACATTCCTCTTTGTGTCAGCAGAAGTACTAAATAACTATATCAAATTTTAGCGCATTTTTTTATGACAGACATTAATTTGGAAAATCTTGCAAAAATAAAAACAATTGTCAGATTTTAATGAAACTTTCAGAAACTCTTCACAAATGATTGAAATTATTATGAATATTTTTTCTTTTCTTTTTTAAGTCATGGCACAAATACTTTTTTTATATTTATTATTCCCCACCCATAACTAATTTTGTGAAAACTCTAGAAATTCAATATTGTAAAATTTAGTGATTATATTAGTTAAAACTTCGAGGAAAGCAAATCATGTTTTTTTTTTTTAATCGGACTCCCTCTACTTGAAAGTCAGCTCTGAAATGTAACATGCAAAACTCAATAAAACAAAGATTTTATTTAATTTCTAATGCTTTTAGTTGTTTTTATGAATATTGATAATATTTTTTTTTAAATCAAAAACATTTTCGATGAAAAATTAATTTTTAAAACAATTATTTGTTATTTCTTAAACTATTTTATTATTTTTACATTAAAGTTGTTAAACATTCTGAAGTTAGTGAAAATGATGTACAGTTTAGTCAATGGTGTTATTAATTGATGTATATTTATAAATTGTAAAGCTGTTTACAATCAGCAGACCCCACTAATTATAACTAAACTATAAATCTAATTTCAAATGGCTTTTGTGTCCAAAAAACGGCTGTAATTCAAATGCATGGAATACCAACATTAATACAATAAAATTTCACGTTATTTAAGTTAAGGCGTTGTTCCCTCCCCGCTGTTACGCTTTATTTTTGCGAATTGTTCGTGCGAAAGACGTGTGGAGAAGTTAATTTGGTTTTTCAATTTCAACTGAAAAGGGTACCTGCAAGTATTAGTATCATCTTATGAAATTTACATGATCTTATTTTTATATTATCTCAGTTATGACATTTTTCCATAAATGAAGTATCAAAATTAATAATAAAATGAATGGAAATACAAATAACACAGTAAAATGTAATAAATGAACATAAAATTATAGTGTTTTATGTACATTTCTGATAAAATTTCATAAGAAATACCTTTCTTAAATTAGTTAGTTACCTTTCTATAAGTTAGATACCTTTCTTACGAAATTTTATCTCACTCTCAATAGTCTTATTTTACTTATTTTATAATATATTTTCCATGAAGAATCGTAAACGTAAAGGTGAAAGCTAAGTACCAAAAAAAAAAAAAATGAATAGAGCATTGAAAATTGTCCTTAAAAATAAGAAGGTAAATAAATTTGTTTACGTAAAACTAAATAATTATGTCACTTCTGTCCTTCCGTACGACAACTTTCCCTCACGTAAGATGAAATCATCACTCGTCACTTATCAATCGTCACCATTGTTAAGACCTGCTTTCCGTTTATATTAACTACATTTTTTCGGCGCACAAAATGAGTAATGTTTGTTTCAAAATATATTAAATAAACTTTATAATTTCTAATTTTCTTAAAATAAATTTTGCAAAAGTATAATTGATTTTTAAAAGATTTTCAAATGGAGAATTTCACTTTTTTCCAATTTCGTAAACGAGATTGGAAAAAAATGGTTGACATGATCGATTTCGTGTCGATTTTGCTGACTCAAAAAAAAATTTAACGAAAATTTCGGACGTTCTAGGAATGATTAAAAAATGTAAAAATCGAAAAATACTTTGATCTTTGCTCTTAATAATAACTTAAACATTTAGACAATAAAAATTATTTTCATCAAGTTTAAGACCCTTTTTATTCATGCTATGCTCTTTTTTAGCGATCTCATAGAGATAGCTTTAACGGATTTTTTTAATATTTCGGTGTCTTTAATTTTAATTTATTTTATTATTTTATCCCCACCCTATAATCGCACGCACGTATGGTTGCTTATACCTATATAAACAAATAAGAAATAAAATGAAATTTAAAAATTTCAGTGTTCCAACATCTTCAGCATTCCCTGTTCGTGCATTATTGCAACCGACGATCACGTTTTTATATCGCCCATCCCTTTCCATCAATAAAACATTACTTCGATGAAGTCCTTCTAAGGACGAAACATATTGTTACACATGACTTTTCTATTTTATCATTATTTTGATATATAGAAATTTATATATCATATATAAAAATATATGTGTGTGTATGTGCGTTCGCGCGTATTCTGAGCATGCAAGTCATGGTCCACCAGATCGGTTATTACTGACAAAACAAACGATAGATAATAGTGTCAAGTTCTCCCTACCACCCGGCATGATTGAGTGGCGAAAATGAATGAACATTTCATTGGGGATAAGTACTCACCGTAATGCTATCAGGGAAATCATCGCTGATGCTCAGATTGAAGGCAATATTGACGGTTCCTGGCAGAACGATTGGATCCGGTGTCACATGGACATCATTCATTTTCACTTTCGAAGATGAATTGCCGCAATCTTCCCAAGAGAAACGAATGAGCCGTTTGTTGGGGTCCATTCCCTGAAAACAATCAGTTTGGATGTAAAAGAAGAAATTGAGAGAGAGAGTGGATTATTACGTTTCATTTGTAATTGTAGTTTATAACTAGCTTAGCTCTGGGGGAGTAGGGTAGGTCGATTTTGTAACCATGGAGTTTGACATGATAAATAATGGCACAAAATAGTTTTTCCAATTCTTTACTTTTTTTTGAGGAAATCAGTTAAAGATTACATTTAGGTTCAAAATCATAGCGTTGTAAATTCATTCCGGTAATCATTTTAAAACCTTATAGCACAGCCTTATAAAATTCATAATTTACTGAATCTTTAGAAATTTTATATGGACAAGATACATGACATATGCACATTATTACTAAATCATTGTGCCATCACTCCCCCCACCAAAAAAAATCCTTCATTTGCCTCAAAGGGAAATTATACTGAACAATTTAGATATATGTTATATGTTATAAAGTGTCGCTGCCGACACTGGAGTTTGAACACAGATTACCAGAGAGCAAACACAGGCGATCCCATTTGAAATAAGTAGATCACGTATTTGCAAACGAAATGTATATATGGGAATTAGTGTGAGGTCTAAACGATCACCATTTCTATTCTATCCTCTATTACGATACGAATCGCGATTCTCTTCTCTACGCTATTCTCCATACTGAGTAATATTCGAAGGCGTTTGACAGAATTGTTTAATGGCATTACTATAGTTGTATCTGCAATTTCAAAGTCTCAACTACAACGAGCATTACGAAAGTGACAACGAGTATTCGATGGCATTACAAAAGTGTCAACGAGTTCTCACTGACATCACAAAACTATTTTATGATGTAATATATTATACAGTGCAGTAGTTTTAGTGCGATTTTCAATAAACAATGCAAATTTAAAACATTTTGCAATAATTTCTGCCCAGCAATATTATGCTATTATGTACACTTTTATCTATTTTTTTGTTTTGTTTTTCTTAATTATGATCTAACAAATGATCTATTCAAATCTTATTCATTGTGTAGCCTTTTTTGTAATCTTTTATAATTACTTTTTACAGTTTTTACTTATCGAATACAGTAAAAAAAAAATGATATATATATGGTGATTCATAATTAGAATTCTGGTTTGAATATATTTTCCATTCAATGTTTCTAATCCAAAGGATACCAACCTTATTTGGATTTATTCTTGAAATAGTAAAAGCGCGTACGCCCGGGACTGGAACAAAAATTCTCCTCCGCCCCCGCAAACGTCGGTTGCGCTGGCCTCGGTGCCAGCACTGATCCTTCCCTCTGGTGCAATGGGAGGGGGAAGCTGTTCCCCAGGCCTAGGCACCTCTTCAATATTAATTTCCTCAGTTGCCTCTCTGTCCTTTGACAGAGAAGCCACTGAGCGCACTCTGTCCATAGACAGAGACGCAACTGAGAGATAATAAGTAGACGTCAATTTACTCCAAAAGAGTAAGGTAGACTATCTTTGACACGAACAATCAGGGCAAGGTGCAGATATTAAAGAATAATAAAACTGTCAAAAGTCATGATCCCCTAAATTATAAAAGAACATTAATTAACTTCTTTAATTAATTAACTTCTTGAAAAAAAATAGACCGTTTCTCATTGCATTGTACAGCGTGTAAAGTTTTCAATAAATTTTCTCAAAATTTATATATTTCATTTTTCTCAAGTTAAGAAAATGTACAATAGTTCCGGTGTATTATGTGTTTATTTTAAGGTAAAAGAACAACTCACACCCTAACACGCCCACACACTCACGCACACACACATACGCGCGCGCGCGCGCACACACACACACACACACACACGCACTCTACAATTTCAATGCTTCATAAATGTTTAAAGCCGGAAAATACTGAAAGACTCACAAGAACATCGATTATTTCTTTCTAAAATCTTATACCCTTTATAATCTCCTCAAACCAGTCATTTTTGTCTCAAAGAAAAAAAGAAAAGAAAAAAAGTCTTGTAGGTAAAGACATTTGTTCCTGGTTTCAGTTCAATTTGAATAATTTATGTTAGCATCTTAGCATATTGCTCGGAGATATATTCAATAGTACGATGGCCCTTATGTTCAGTGAAGAGAGATCATTTTGCCCCTATATGAGGTTTTGTTTAGGCAGCAGAATAGAAAAAATGATGTTGTGAGTTCAATCCGTGGAAAAAGCTCTGACTGTAATTTAACCGGGTGAAATGGAAGGTTGCATTCAAATTATTCCGAGGAAGCTTAGAGAATACGCCAATGCCAAAATATTATGACATAGATAATAGAAGTATGCAAAAGACAAAGAATCGATATTTTTCTTCAAAATTCTATCGGGAAAAATAAGTTATAAAGAAGTTATTATAAGTTATTATGAACGAGACAAATGATTCTGCCCAAAGAATTTGAAGTATCGTTATTATTCATTATTATTTCATGAATTATTCGGACTAGCATGCTTTGCTGCTATTATAATCACAACGCTTCGGTCGGTCCATTCTCCAGCCTTTTTTTTAGATGTATAGAATATCGCTGAGCGCGATAATCTACATTGAAATATCATGATCACAATAACAAGAGAGATCAGGATATTAGTCCAAACAATACTTAATCTCAGAATTGTAGATAATACGTAAAAAATTATATATATTCTAAGGTGTTTTCTGCAAAGATATAGTGAACAATCTCGTCTCGTAAGCTATTTGCTAGTGTAGTAAATTCGAATCGTCATTGGAACACCCAATGACGATCAATCTCACGAACAAGCAAAATTAAACGAAGAATTATAGGAAAGTATATCAATATGTCCGCAATGTTAGAAAAGTTCTTATCCACACGTCCACTTGAGCGGAATGTAACACAATATCAAGTTTAAAGTAAGTTGGTAGCCGACGCGTACGTAGACTGGGGAAAATATTACCAAACACCTTCGGCACTTCTTCCTTTTGGGTACACTTCAAGTACCAGGTAATGAGCCTGGGCCACTCCCGAAGAAAAGGTAATGCCTAGAGGAACAGCTTATCGCTCGGTCCAACTTGATGTAAGATTGAATTTAAACATCAAAAAAAAATTAATAAACTTCACCTGCGTGACGTAACAGTCATATTCTGGATAGAAAGGAATCGTTTGGAACTATGGTTTTCTAGGAGTATGGCTTTCTATAACTTAGATTAATAAATCTTTTTTAATCTACTTCAATCTCGTTAACCATATTTAATGGTGAGAAAGTATTTATTTTACACAACGAAATATTATTTTGTGAATATTAATCAATTCGATGAAACATTATACAGTGAACATTTCCGATCAAAATAATAACTACGCGCCTTACTATAATATTTACATTGATATTCATCATTGAAATTAGGTTCAAACTCACCCATTTCCAAAAAAATTCGATCGGTTGGTCCCGTTCAAGAATGGTCGGTTGATCGAGTAATGCCATTAACTTATTTATGTTAGCATCTTCCTGACGGGCTTTGAATTTCAAGAGATTTGATGATTCTGCCGCCGAGATAATAGCAAGAACGACGAAAAAAACAAAGTTGCGTGTTGCTTTCATGGTAGCAAATTTACTTGAAAAAAAAAGAAAAGCAAAACCGTCGTTTATAAATGCTTGAAATGAATTTATCAAAGTCGACACTCAGGTGATGATAAAAAAAATGGGTCAGACCGATCGGGAGATCAAGATAAACTTTGAAGAAAAAAAGAGAATTGTCTGATAAAAAAATGATTTTTCAGATAAAAAATCAAAGTCCCTATTTTCTAAGTCAATCTTGTTTGACAGCGTCCTTTTGATTATAGTTTGGAATGAGCGAGTGGTGTAACAGTGAGCGAATCAGAAAGAGAAATAAACGAACCCAGTTCGAATTCCGGTCAAGTTTGTTATGTCCATTTTCGCCCAAATACTCTTTAGTAAAGTATTCTGCAGACTGGCGTAATTGCGACAAAAAGTACAACCTGACAGTACTACTATTCAGAACTGCGACGACCCAAACTAAATTAGGATTGTTTGGACACTGTGAATGTGGAATACTGAGTGTGATGCATTATCTTTGTTTAACTTTTCATATAAGACCAAAAAATGCGCGAAAACGAGCAGTGCGGTTGCGTCAGTAGTGAAGCCGAGTGCTCTGATGTCATCTTCTACTAGATTCCCTTTGGGTGACGTGATTTTAGCGAAGAGACAAGCCACTACGCGGAAAGGATATGTAGTTAGTAGTTTTGTTGACACCCGTTCTTTCTATCGCTCTCTCCCTTGAGATTCATTCATGTAGCGATGCCTACCCTATGTAATCGACTAAAAATGAAATCTGTAGAAAATTGTTCGTGTTTTAGTCTGTTTGGAGTCCCTACTCTGGAATTGCTCCTTGATCACTTGTGCATATGGGGTGGGGGCGGTTCTGTTGTAGTACAACCGCCAATCCATAGACTAACCGCCGACTTTTGTACATCGATGTAGATGGTGGCATTAACCCTGAGCTCATGCAGTAAGAGGTGAGATGACATGGCACAGATCTTGTTGCTTATAGAACTAATTACAGATTACGTTAACTTGTTATGCATGAGTATGAATATGTTCGTTGTATCCGTATAGAATTCCCTAGTGTTCCACCTACTAATTTTCAAGAAGCTTGTTATCTCCTACCCGCTGTGGTTGACGTCTAGTATGTGCAAAGCATGTCTTGAGATAATATTACGTTATGTCTTCTTCCATTTACAGTCTGCGAAAAGGGTGCTCTCAAATACCTGGCGCAAAATGTAAAAAACTGCATATCAGTTTACACAGACAGACACACACATATATATATATATATATACATATATATATATATATATATATATATATATATATATAATAATAATAATAAGGGGATTTGAATAATCAAAAGTTACGACATGACGCAAGCGTCATACCGACTGGATCAACCGGTCTTAATGACGGAGAAGTAACAAACCAGACTCCAAATAACGCCAGATCTTTACAAATCCCGTCGTGTGACTCATCTGACTACTTATACCAACGGATTGTGCCCCCATGAGTCACGTCTTCTATCCCCAGGAAGAGCTGGGGCTATATCGAGTCTGGTTTGTTACATCTCCGTCACCGAGACCCGTTGGTCCAGTGGGTATGACGCTTGTGTCATATCGTAACGTTCTGGGCTCGATTCTCTGCTGATGAGTGCCATAAATAGGATGAAACTGCCGTCCAGTGCTTTCTGCATTCTGTTGAGGATTCTTATAGACTCGATGAATTATATATATATATATATATATATATATATATATATATATATATATATATAAATTAATACAAGTACAAAATTTGTCACTCACCTGATTGTTGTCATATTCAGCAGACCGACTCCACAGTTTCGTAAACAAACATGTCAATTGTGACAGAACGATTTGTTCTGTCACAACTGACTATCGATTTTATCATTTTCGTTATTTGTATATTCCGTTAAAAACAATTTATGCGCCTTTTATTGGTATTAGGTTGTTTTTTTTCTTTGTGTGTGTGTGTGTGTGTGTGTGTGTGTGTGTGTGTGTGTGTGTGTGTGTGTGTGTGTAGAATGTGTTTTTTCTCTTTTTCATAATTTTCTCGTCACCCTATACTCACTCCCTTCCTATTCCTTTTCTTTCTTTTTATCTCTTTCGGCTCTGAGTGTCAAAGCTAATGTAACAATATCATTTCCGTAGAAAATATTCATAAGAGATTTTTAGGTTATTTTTTTCTGGAATATTCTAGGATTTTCTTAAGTTTAGAAAATATAGGTGTATTCCGTATTTTATTCATTTCTTGTTTCAATAATTATTACTTTTAATTAATGCTTAAATGGCAAAGTACATTTTGTTTATATTTCTTCACTTACCCATTATTTCATTTTTCTTATTTAGTAGTTGATAGTTTGTTTTTTACCTGACTAGATGCTATCTTAAATATTAGGGTATTAATGATGGAAGGTTAGATTTATAAATGTAATTTATTTAATATTTTATTGAATATATATATATATATATATATATATATATATATATATATATATATATATATATATATAAAATAAACCATATTGATAAAGCTAAGATGGGCCGCAATTGGTTTGCTTAAATCTTGAAATACTAAGCGTCACCTCTGTTGTATGTATATTTTTGCTTTTGACTTTTAAATTTCGTCTTTGTTTTTCTTAATTTTTTCTCTTTTCTCTACTGCCATAAATTCTAATTTTCTCTACACTTGACCGCCACCCTAATACCATTTAAATCCACTTGTTGCAATTAGAATTAAGTTGTACTTTATAACTTTTGAGTAAAGTAAGAAATATTTAACCACGGCCAGCTTCATTCTTACTGGATTATACTGAATTAATCAACTGCCTGATCTTTTTTTAACTTGCTCTTGTCGAGTCTCACAAAATTGTGCTCTTAGAAACTTGCATCCCTCTATAATATCTGATGATAGCTCGTTCCAATCATCTGTTAAACAGGAATTCCCTATTCATAAGAACTCTTCACGTTACCCTAAGTATTAAGATTCTGGGACATGAGGAAGGAGGGCCTGGAGAATCTGATACTCGAATAGAGGGAAAGAGGGACAAGGGAAAGCAGCACGTGACATACCTGACGAGCTTGAGCAGGTAGATGACAGAACTTGGTCTGGGGGACAAAGCAGAGGGAAGGAACTTGTTGAGAGCTGCAAGGGATAGGGGAAGGTGGGGAGCCATGATCACCGACGTCCAGAAAGGACATAGTACATAGAAAGAAGAAGAAAAAAGAAAGAAGCGTTAAGAAATAGGAAAATTTCATTAGAAACAAAGAAAAAAGTACTAAAGTGCTATGTAATATCTGTCCTCCGTTATGGCAGTGAATGTTGGACAATCTCATTACAGAAGAAGAAAAGACATGTGGCTATATAAATCAAGTTCTACAGAAAGATGCTGGAAATACCATGGACTGAACATGTGAACAACGACGAAGTTTTAGAGAAAATGAAAACAAAAAGGATACTTATACTTATTCAGTAGAAAGTGACAGTTGAAATTTCTAGGGCACGCATCACGAGGAAAGATGTTTGGAAAAATTAATACTCACAGGACCTGTTGAAGGTAAGAGGGGCATAGGAAAGCAGTGCATAACCCCTGCCTAACGAGTTTGTGAAAATGGTTGGCAGAACAAGGTTTAGGAGATATAGCAAAAAGACAAAATTTATTAAGCTCTACAAAAGACAGGAAATTATGAAGAATCCTGATCGCACACGTCTTGAATGAACATGGCATATAGAAGAAGATGATAGTTTATTGTTTTTCGAATTCAGTATATAGACTTTATTGGTAGAATTACACACTTAGTATGTTGTTGATTTTACTTTTCTCGTCATGGATTTTACATTTTTTCTTCTTTCGTCATGAATGAAATGTGATGAATGGGAGTAGTGAAGAAGTATAAAAGTTTGTTTTGTTAAATATAATTTTCTTCTTCATCTAGGAATTCAGATTAGCATATTCTAAGAGCTCTTAGAAACCTATAATTAATTTTGTTTTTATTGCGTTGTTGTGATGAGAATAAAAATTAATTCACTTGGGAAATTGGTGTAATTACACAGTCTGTGATTGACAAAACAAAGCTTAGTTTTAATTTTTTAAATTTTCGATGTCCAGATGCATTTTCGGTGTTCATGGTAACCAGATACATTTTTAGTGTCCATGTTATCCAGATGCATAACTTAGCCAACTTCATTTAGATTTTCTTACTCTTTTATTTTTTTATTTTTATTTGTTTTTAAATATCCCACACAAGTACTTTTCTTAGGACAGGCAATGTGGTAAATTTACCATGGAAGATCCCGAAACTAGTACAACACTTTCAATATAGTTCGCCTTAATTGTTTTCTCTTTTATCTAAAGCTGTATGGTAAGTATGTTCTTGTCGGAGGGAAGGGGGTCACCAGCGTGGTTATAGTGTTGTAGATATGTGACAGTATTCTTTGGTGATATATTTTATCGGAAACATAGGACATAAAACGAACTGACTCAATGGTTTAAAATAAATAATAAATTTATTTAGAGTGATGAGTGAGTCCTTTGCTATTTGGTGTCACAAAAAGTTCTTTAATAAGGCAAATATTGGAAGCAGTTTGGAGAAATGTCCATTTCATCCCACTATTCGAGAATTTGGGAAGTCAGCACTTGATAGTAGTCGTAGACATCTTAGTAATAGGAAATTGTCAATCTGATGTGTTTTTTCGGCCCTAAGCAGGGCAAAAATATCATTAGCAGTTGACATCTTAATTACTTATTCAAACGTCATGCATGACTGCGTTCTCTGCGGTATACCTCTAGCCCAAAGGTTTATATCCTTTTGACCAGGCTCTTTTTAGCGTTTCTCGACACTTTTTGTATTTTCACCCTCCCCATCTATATATGCAAGTCTCCATCCATAAAGCTATTTTTAGACTGAAGATGTACATTCGACAAACAAAACACGTCACAATAGTTTTTTTTCATTTTGTCATTAAATTTTTCACTATTAGCTTTATATATATATATATATATATATATA